AAAAAAAAAAAAAAAAAGCAAGCAAAATATGCTGCTACAAGTAAGGGGACAAAGATCATTGTGGATGCATATTAAGTCTATCTGACACTGTGTATAATATATTTTCAATGCCAGGCAACTTGTTAGCTTCCTAATATGTGTATCCTGGGATGTTTGCAAATATGTTATAGGGCTCGGCAAACAGCTCGGCAGGCATGCTGGAGAGGCTGCTCCCATTTTAGGCTGATGTTTAATCTGGGGCTTTTAAGCTCTCTGCTGCCCCGGTTAACCTGGGCCTGGTTTGGTGACGCCCAGAGCACCTCTTCTTGTTGGCATCCTTTTCGTCACTGGGGGGACAGACTGTCAACGCATCCGTCTGCTCAGCTCAGCTCCCAACAGAGCTGCAGCCCCATGGTCAGGCTGTCCTAAAATCCTGGAGTGCCAGGGCTAAAGGGCCCTTTCTAGAGCGTCAAGTCCTATTGCCCATTTTACAGCAGGGTAAACTGACGCCCAGATAGGAAAGGCACTAGCTTAAAGTCATTGGGGCAAGGTGAAGGCAGAAGTAGGGCTAGATCCAGGCCACCCACAGCGTTCCTGGACATTCTGTTGGGTGGTCAGAGTTTAGGAAAGAGGCTGCATCGTCCCAAGAACCACTGCATTTTTGGCAGAGGCCAGAACCAGACATCAGGGAATGAAGGGGGAGACAGCATCCATTTCTCAGGCCTCTGGGCAGAATAAAAGCCCCTACCCCTGTCCCTATTCTCCTCCTGGCTGGCACCTTGTCTTTCAGAGCAAAAGGTGTGAGCCCCAGCCGCCAGCCACAGGGCCTGCTGGGATGAAAACTGGAAGCTTGGTGGGGGCAGGTACTGTCCTTAGCTCCTCTCTCTGGCTGACTTGCTGTCCTCTGGCTTAAGGAACAGAGCCTGGAGGACTCACCCCTCTCAAGGAAATCCCCACTTGACTTGGTTTTCATAATCTGCCTGCAGATCTTGCCTGGTTAACCCGGTGGGTCATTTTAATTTTCCAGAAGCTTTTCTACTTCCCTCGGATCCTTAATCAGGTAAGGAGATCTGTGTATGTTTGTATGCGTGCGTGCGTGTGCGCGCACGGGTGCCTGGGCTCCCTCGGCTCTCAGCCCCCACTTTTCCCTCCCTCTCCGCCTCCCATGAGCGAGCTCCTTCTCTTCCCCTCCATCTCCATAATCACTTCCCATCTCTTCCAGAATGCTAAATGGAGTCTGGAGATGGGAGGAAGGGTGAGCGAATTTGCAATGGGGAGCCAGCCGTCATTCCTGTCCTCCCTGTTCCCCTTGTCTCTTCCCCCATTATTCTGGAGGTGGATTTGGCAAAGTGTTTTCTCGGAGGAGGGACAGGAACTTCTTTCCCCCGCCCCTTTGCTCCCCTCTGGAAGTGTGCTTCTGCAACCCACCCCCCCCCCCGCACTTCCTGCTCTGTTGTCACTGGGTTCCCACAGTGCTGCCTGAGCCCAGGGCTGCCCGTGGTCTCCACCAGCTCCGGCAGAGGGGAACATAACAGGGAAGATGCATAACTGGACGAGGAGGGACGCCGGTGGCTGGCGGGTGCGTGGCAATGCCCCGGGAGAGAGAGCCCGATAGGACGCCTCTGATAGCTTATCTCCTAATACTTGTTGTTTGGAGCTGTTGTCTTCCCCTCTGAGCCTGTCTGCCCGGCCAAGCGCGGCGCGGCTGGTGTCAGCAGCCTCCTCCTGCCGAGCACGCTCAGCTGCCTTCTGCCGTGGAGGGCTCAGCATCCCTCCTGTTAGGGGGCATTCTTCTGAGGCCACGGGGGTGGCAGGTGGAGGGGCTGGGGGCTTGGCTCTGCACAGCAGGAGGACGGGGAGCTAAGGGGACTCAATGCTTTCCTGGCCAATCTTTTCTGGGGCCCCAGCCGTCTTTGTTCCACTGTGTCTGGCGTGGGGCTTGGCACACAGTAGGCACTTAATAAATGTTTGCCGTTCTGAACTGAATTATCTGTTGACAGCGTTGGGCTGGACCAGATCACTCCAGGTCCTTTCCAACCCTCAGGACTATGGCTCTGATACAGGATAGAGGCGTATCTCAGCACAGCACATGGACTGTTCGGGGCACCGCTGAGAACCTGGGGTGTTCAAAGCCCCGGCTCTGTCTCAGGAGCTCACCTCATGGGTGAAGTCATAGGTGAGAGTGCCAGGGGCTGTTCAGCATGGATCAGCACCTGCCCTGTGTTTTCCCACACTTGAAGGGCCCTTGGAGAATCATCTTGCCTTACCCCACTGTTTACCAATTATGTACTGGAAGCCCCAGGATGACTTGCCCAGGGCCTTCCATCCATTGGAAAGAGTTAAGAGGCACGCTCGGGGGTCTCACTCGCCGCAGCCGGCCCGCGCTCCGCGTTCTCCCGCAGCTCGTCCTTCGCGTCCGCTGCCGCCACCTCCACCGACCGCAATGGAAGAGGAGATCGCCGCCCTCGTCATCGACAATGGCTCTGGCATGTGCAAGGCGGGCTTTGCTGGGGATGACGCCCCCCGGGCCGTGTTCCCGTCCATCGTCGGGCGACCCCGACACCAGGGTGTGATGGTGGGCATGGGCCAGAAGGACTCCTACGTGGGCGACGAGGCCCAGAGCAAGCGGGGCATCCAGACCCTCAAGTACCCCATTGAGCACGGCATTGTCACCAACTGGGACGACATGGAGAAGATCTGGCACCACACCTTTTACAACGAACTGCGAGTGGCCCCCGAGGAGCACC